CGGTACCAACAATGTTACAACAACACCTAAAATGTGCAAAGCAATAATTTCAGAAATCAAAGTCAATTCAAAAAAAACAACTATCAAAGTAAGTAAAATCCCTTGATACTAAAAGTGAAATCCCTCGACACTAAAAATCTACAATACTTGACCCCATATTCGACAACCCTATGTAACACGCATTCTCCTACGGGCTTGAACTGAATCAAACATCACTATAACTTTACAGCTTGGCCACAACAATTCAGCGGTCGTTTTTAATGTTCATAAATAAGAGTGAGCAATGGCACATACTCAAAAATTTTTCGAAGTGATATGAGAGTTCTCTGAGTAGGCAACTCCATTCGACCAAACACACTAAGCGAACATAAATTAGCGAAAGGCTCACAGAAATTTCAAAAGACAATTTAAGGCTCTCTTTTACACCAACAACTCTGCAGGAATATCAACAATCGATGGAAATTGACTGAAAGTATTCACCACACACCTGCGTCATCAATATCAGCCATTGCTGCCGGAAGTGCGTATCGGAAGAGTGAAATCATTTTGCTCAACCATTTACCAACACCAGATCGAGTGGTATTCTCAGCTGTGGAATGGTAATCGGCCGGATTCAGGCTCGGATCCATCGGTATGGCACCACTCATCGAAGGATCCTCGGGTACGGGGGGTGGTGGCTGAGCGGGAGCTTGCTCGCCGTGTGACTGATCATCAATAGTTTCGTGACTCTCTGCTGGACGAGTGTCAGCTGGTGGTTCAGAAATGGGTGGTGGCTGTTGGTCTTCGTGCGCTGGAACAGATGCTGTGGGCACAACGACGTTTGAAGGGGTCTTCTCAACTGAATCTGAAGGCTGATTTGTTGACGTATCAGCACCTAGCCTATCGCAGTCACCTTTGACGCAATAACCCTGAAAATGTCCTCGTTGCATTCTATCATCAAACGGCAGTGGAGAATCTTTCTGTGGCAAGTGTATCACAAGAAACAAATCGTCAGCATAAAGGGATGATATTCACTGGAATGAGGAATTATTTCTACAAAATTAAGCAACTGCTAGAAACTGGATGATGAGGGTGGAACCACACTACACGTTATGCGAAACCTGAAATAGTCCTTGCTAGCAAAATTTCTGGACATTTCAAACATGAACTAGATGATATTCAACTCAATTTGTTCTATCATATTCCTGTTGTTCATTCAATTCGACTGCTGCTACTATTAGNATCCAAGATTAGTTTGAACAACAAAAAAAACGTGCTCTATGACCAGGACTCGAGTGATGATTGTTAGAAACTACCAATGGAAATCTAATTAGTCGTTATAACCGATGCAGACGAAACCAATCGAAAGAGCATAAAAGTTTCCCTAGACATCATTTTTATTTTCTGCTGAATTAACTAGTGGACCGAGATAAACGGATTTTAAGGATGCGAAAGTTGCCAACTGACTGAATGAAAGGTTCAAACAACGGTTCGAATCCTATCTTTGGATTTTTCTCAATTGGAAATGCTGATGATAAAGAGTTTCTGTTCTGAAACTGATATTCGGAAGTTCATTTCGTGTGCGAGTCTATCCCAATACGAATGCAAATGATGAAAGCACCTAATGTCATATCATATTGTACTTTCCATTTACTATTTTAATTGACGCAGACAGCTCATTGCTTGATTCTGAATCTTTATTTGATGTTACCGTTGCAGGTGAATGATAAGAAGCGCAGTGTGATATACTATGATCCATCCAATGCACTTATTTTGATAAGAGATTTGGTTTGGAGCATTTTTAAACCGAGAACCTACGTCAGTGTCAATGAGAAGAAAAAAATTATGCCTTCAGGACGTACATTTTTGTTGGGATAAACTACTTCATCCAACTGAACTCTAAATATCGGTTTTAGAATTTGCAGTTTTTCAGCCATTAGTAATTGAAAACTGCAAAAAATACAGCCAACGAAGTTGAACCAGAGTCTCGCATCTGCGTTACTCTTCTACTCCAGTGGATCATAACGTGAGTCTGATCGATCGGTTACAAAAACTTTCTATCATGAAGGCTTAAAAATTTTGAAGTTTATTACTCTATTTATCTAGGTCAACATGTCGACTAGGGAGGAAACAAAAATGACTTTCAGCACAACATTCCGTACTCTTTCGAATGATATTGTCTTGCTTCAATTGATTACATCGAGTAATCAGACCTCCCTTTTGAATAAAGAGATGCAGTCACACAAAAATGTCATCACCACGTTGATGGTGGTTGTGACATCAACACACAAATAGCTAAGCAAATGAAGAAACGGCTTTTGAAGGTTAAGATAGTGCTTCGAGGAAGACATGCGACAACTTCTGATTAGGTTTTAGGCTGAACATAGGACTCCTTGATATCAAGATACCCTTCCCGTTAACTATTTTTGATATCATCTCCTCCACATTCTCAATTATCATTTGCTGCATCCATCAATCACTGTCAAACCTTTTTGTTCGTTGGTGGAATTCGAAATCTTTGATTGCTTCTTGCCAGATTCGATGAGCAAT